GTCCGTCCTCCCTGGACTGACCTATCCCCTCCCTAACTCCCCACCTACACTCACCTTTACTGGCTCCATCCTCTCCACCTTTCCTCTCCTCAATCCATCTTCTATCCGCCTCCCCCTCTCTCCCTATTTATTTCAGAACCCCCTTACCCTCCCCCATTTCTGATGAAGGGTCTAGGCCCAAAACATCAGCCTTTTTGCTCCTATGATGCTGCTTGGCCTGCTGTGTTCATCCAGCTTTGCACCTGTTGTCTCGGATTCTCCAGCATCTGCAGTTCCTACTATCTCTGGTGGCAGAGAATGGTGACTTTGTACACTTTTCACTGTGCTTATGTATTCCTAAACTTGAATACTTGTGACAATATAATCTAATTCTAATTGAATAGAATAGAAAAATAGAAACTTAATGTTACATACATTGAATAGTATTATAAGTCATAGAGATGTACAGCACAGAAAATGATCCTTCGGTCCAACTCATCCATGCCGACCAGATATCCTAAATTAATGTACTCCCATTTGCCAGCATTTAGCCCATATCCCTCTAAACCCTTTGTATTCATGTACCCATCCAGAGGCCTTTTAAATGTTATTATTGTACCAGCCTCCACCACTTCCTCTAGCAGCTCATTCCACATATGCACCACCCTCTGTGTTAAAAAGTTGCCCCTTAGGTACCTTTTAAATCTTTCCCCTCTCACCTGAAACCTATGCCCTCTAGTTTTGGACTCTCCTACCCTGGGGAAAAGACCTTGACTATTCACCCTATCTGTGCCCCACATGGTTTTATAAATCTCTATAGGGTCACCCCTCAGCCTCCAATGCTCCAGAGAAAATAGTCCCAGCCTATTCAGCCTCTCCTTATAGCTCAAACCCTCCAACCCTGCCAACATCCTTGCAATTTTTTTCTGAACCCTTTCAAGTTTCACAACATCCCTCCTCAGCAGGGTGACCAGAATTGAACCGATGTCCTGTATAGCCACAACATGACCTCCCAACTGCTACACCCGATGTATTGACCAATAAAGGCAAGCATACCAAACGCCTCCTTCACTATCCTGTCTACCTGCGACTCTATTTTCAAGGATCTATGAACCAGCACTCCAAGGTCCCTTTATTTGGTACCTCTCTGCAGGACCTTACCATTAAGCATATAAGTCCTGCCCTGCACCCTATCACAGCAGCTACATCAATGACAGAAGTCATATATAATAAAAAAAATTAAGATAAAGTTCTTTACAGTGCAGTTACAGCTCCAGGGATTGGGGAAAGTTGATTAAGGAACAATGGAATACCCTGAAGACGCAGTCAAGACAAGAATGTCATTCCGGGACAAGACCACTATGTCTGGCCGCTGGATCACTGGGCTGGAAACCGCTGGTGAAGAAGATCGCCATGTGGGGCTGAGATGGCCACTCCTGGGTGAGACCACCTGCCAGGCTGCTGGAACACCTGGATGCTGAAGACAAAGAAGACTCCACAAGGGGGCAAAACCTCCATGCTGAGCCAAGACCACCACACAGGGAGAAGAGGTAGAAGGCTAAAGGGCTAAGCAAGGGTGTGAAATGTGTTATCAGGCTCTGATAGGATTTGTGGAATAATCATGACCTTTTTGACAAGTGCAGCAGGTTTGAGGGGTTGAGTGGCTTACTCCAACTCCTAATACATATGTTTGTAGGTACATGTTTGTGTCTATATTTGACATTTGCGTGTATATGTTTGCATGTATGTTTGTGTGTTTATATTTACTTTTTGTATGTTCATTTGTATGTAAATGTTTGTGTATTTGTTTGTATCATTGATTGTGTATGTGTTTGTGCATATACATTTGTATGTATATGTTTGCATGTTCATGTTTCTATGTATGTTTGCATATGTTTGTGTGTATATGTTCATGTGTATTTGTTTGAATGTAAACATTTACATCTATATGTTTGCATGTATATTTTTGTATTTATATCTTTGAATGTATATTTTAAGGGTTTTGTATATATATTTGATTGTACATGTTTGAATGTAGAGCTGGTGTTTCCTCACCTTGGGTTTAAGATGTGACCGATTGCACCACGTTGGATTCACGTGGAACCTGAGGAGGTGATGACCTAGTGGTATTATCATTACACTATTAATCCAGAAACTCAGTAAATGTCCCAAAAGTTGAACCCCACAGAGCAGATCATTGAATTTGAATTCAATAACAACATATGCAATTAAGAGTCCAACGATGACCACGAATTCATTGTTGTGGGAAAACCCATCTGGTTCACTAATGCCCTTCAGGGTGGGACTCTGGCCTACATATGGTTCCAGGCCCACAGCCATGTGGTTGACATTTAACTGCCCTCTGGGTAATTAGGAATGGGCAAAAAATGCTGGCCCAGCCAGAGACACCCTCATTCCCTGAATGGAGATAAAAATACTGCAGCATGTTGTTGGCGCTTCCTTTTGACAAAACTGGTGACTTTTGGGAATATCACCGTCAGCCTTGATGAGGAATTACCTGACAGGTTCTGGCATCAATTTAATGAAACCTCAGCAGTGAATCGTGACCGCGGGCCCTTCGCCAAGAATCGTCCACTGATTGGACAGAGGCCCATCAATCAGAAGACACCCCGCTAATGATTGGAGAATATTGATCCAACCCACTCACGCCCCTGTGACCTGAATGGTCAATTGGGACGTCAATCTCAAAAGCAGCATGCGGATGTTCGGACTGCGCGTGCGCACAGTTTTCCACTGGAGGCCTGTTAACGGTTTGAGTAAAACCTGCTTTTTTGTTGTTGTTTATTATTAATATTTATATATTATTATTGGCTTTGGTTTATCAGACAATATCCATACATATTGAGGGTTTGGAGGACCCTCAGACTTGGGGCGGGAGGGACTGAAGGACCTTGATACGCAAAGGGTGGGGCTGCAAGTATCTCACTCATTAGAAGAGGGGCTGGAGGATTCTGACGCCTGCGGGGGTGGAGCTGGAGGACCCGGCCGCCGTTGGGGTGGGGCTGGAGGACCCGGCCGCCGTTGGGGTGGGGCTGGAGGACCCGGCCGGGGCGGGGCTGGAGGATCCGGCCGCCGTTGGGGCGGGGCTGGAAGAACCTGATACCCGAGGGGGTGGGGCTGGATGTACAACACACCTTGGAGGCGTGACTGGAGGACCTTGCCTTCTTTTGGCAGTGGATGAAGGACTCTGACACCCAGGCCTGGATGACCTTGCCTCCTTTGGGGGTGGGCTGGAAGACTCTGACGCCACTGGAGGACCCTTAGTCTTCGGAGTAGGCGTGGAGTTCCCTCGGTCTTGGGGGTCGGCCTGAAAGACCTTGCCATCCTTGAGTGCGGAGCTGGAGGTCTCTGACACAGTGGGTGAGGATGGAGCTACCTTGTGATAGAGGAGGGGCTGGAGTACCCTCCGTCTTGGGGGCGGGGCTGATTCCTAGCTGGGTGGGACTAGGGGCACCTCATGCCTTGGGAAAGGGCTGGAGGGTTCCCATTTTTGGTGGGAAGAGTTTTGGATACCAATTTGGTTGAAGCATTGGAAGGTGAATGTTGTGGTGAGTAGTTCTTTAGCTGGAGGGAGATCTATAGGAAATGATTTCCTGAGGTCAATATTTGTGAAGGTGGTAACAGGGCAAGTTGAAAACAAAAAATGTACAAGATCCTTGGCTGCATTCTGAGAACAGAAAGTAGGAAGTTGTGCTACACCATCATAAAACAAAGACTAGGTCTCAGCTAGAGGTTTTCATTTAATTCTGGATGACAGGCTTCAGTATGATTGGTTGTGGGTAAATTGTTGGAGGTGATTTTAAAAGATAGGATTTATCGACATTTTGAGGGGCAAAAATCAATTGGGCATAGTCAGCATGGTATTGTGCAAGGAAAATCATGTCTCGCAAACTTGATTATGTTTTTTTGAGGAAGTTACCAAAATAGATTGATGATGGCAGAGCAGTAGAAGTTGTTTATTTGGATTTTAGTAAAGCCTTTGACAAAGTTCCACAGGGTAGACTAATTAGTAAAGTTAGGTCACATGGGATTCAGGGTGAGCTTGCCAATTGGATACATAATTGGCTTAACGGCAGTAGACAGAGTAATGGTGGAGGGTTGTGTTTCGGACTGGAGGCCTTTGACCAGTGGTGTTCTACAGGGATTGGTTCTAGGTCCTCTTTTATTAATACAAATAATTTGGATGAGAATATAGAAGGCAGGGTTAGTAAGTTTGTGGATGACACCAAAATTGCTGGCATTGTAGACAGTGAAGATTTTCTAAGATTATAAAGGGATCTTGATCAAATGGGTCAATGGCCTGAAAATGGCAGATGGAGTTCAATCTGGATAAATGCGAGGTGTTGCATTTTGGTGTAACAAACAAGGGTAGGGCTTATACAATTCGTGGTAGGGCCTTGGCTAGTGTTGTAGAACAAAGGGACCTAGGGCTGCTGGTGCATAATTCTATAAAGTTTGCGTCACATATAGACAGGATGGTTAAAAAGGCCTTTGGAACGCTTGCCTTCATTGTTGAGTACAAGAGTTGGGACATTATATTGAGGTTGTACAGGACATTGGTGAGGTCTCTTCTGGAATACTGTGTCCAGTTCTGGTCACCCAGTTATAGGAAGGATATTATCAAGCTGATTTACCAGGGTGTTGCCAGGTATGGAAGGTTTGAGTTATAAAGAAAGGCCGGATAGGCTATGATTTTTTTGCTGGAGCATAGGCGGTTGAGAGGTGACCTGATTAAAGTTTATAAAATGATGAGAGGTGTAGATAGAGTTGGTGGTTGTTGTCTTTTCTCTAAGATGGGGAATTTCATGATTAGGGGACACATTTTTAAGGCAAGAGGAGAGAAATTTAAAAAAGACATGAGGCAAATTTTTTACACAGGGTGTGGTTCGCATGTGGAATGAACTTCCTGAGAAAGTGGTGGATGCGGGTACAGTTACAACGTCCAAAAGATATTTGGATGGGTACATGAATGGAAAGGTTTGGAGGGATATGGGCCAGGAGTGAGCAGGATTATGTTTGGCTTGGACTGAAGGGTATGCTTCCGTGCTGTACGACTGTAGGATATACTGGTACGGTTCCACTAAGGAGTGATTTCAGAGAGACCTAGGGGTTTCTTCAAAGTGGTGTCACAGGTAGACAGGTTAGTGAGGAAGGCATTTGGCACACTTGTCTTCATTGGTCAAAACGTTGAGTATAGAAGTTGGGGCGTCATGTTGAGGATGTATAGGACATTGGTGAGGTTACTTTTTGAGTACTACATACAATTCTTGTTGCCCTGCTATAAGAAGAATGTTATTAAATTAGAAGGGGTGCAGGAAATATTTACGAGGACGTTACCGGGACTGAAGTGTTTGAGTTATAAGGAGAAGCCGGATAGGCTGGGTCTTTTTTCCCTGGATCATAGGAGGTTGAGGGGTGACCTTAGAGGTTTATAAAGTGAGTAGTAAAGGCTTTTCTCCATGGTAGGGGAGTTCTTAACTAGAGGACAAGGGTCTAAGGTGCGAGGGGAAAGATTTTAAAAAGGATCCAAGATGCAACTTTTTCACACAGAGGGTGGTTTGTCTGTGGAATGAACTGCCAGAGGAAATGAAGGATGCAGATAGTTAGAATATTGAAAAGACATTTGGATAAGTACTTAAAGAGGAGAGGTTTAGAGGGATAAGGACCAAACACAGGCAAGTGGGAGTAGTTTAGTTTAGGAAACCTGGTCGGTGTGGTTGAGTAGGGAAGAAGGGTCTATTTCCATGGTGTATTACTCTACGTTATTGATGTAGAGAGAGAGAGAGAGATTTGTTTGAAATATTCAAAGTTGTGAAGTGTTTTTCATGGGATGAATGAGGAGAAGCTGCTTCCAGTTCATCAGAAGACACAGAATTAAGGTGTTTGGCAGAAAATATCTGGGGGGAAGCTGAGGAAATGTTTCTTTACCCAGCCAGTTCTGATCTGAATTGTAGTGATGAAAGAAAGGCTGTTGGCTGCAGCTTCACAATGGAAGAAAATCAGATACTTGAAGGGAAAGTGATGGGAAATCAGCAGAAGAAACAATGAATTGAATAGCTCTACTACAGGAATGATGGGCAGAATGTCCTCCTTGCATTGATGAGCACGAACATATGAATTAGGAATAGGCCATTTGGCCCCCTCAAGCCTGTTCCACCATTCAATAAGATGATGATCTGATTATGCCCTAAACTTCACTTTACTGTCTGTTCCCTGATATCTTTTGACATCCGTGTTGGTCAAGAATCTATCTAAATCAGCCTTAAAAATATTAAACTCAATGATTGAAGGGGGGACATGATTAAAATGTCTTTCAGTCCTTGAGCTCACCATTAATTTTCTGTTTTCTTATTGCCTTTAAATAGGATGTGATCTGAATCTTTCCCTGCAGTTGGTCAAGGAAATGTCTTTCTTGTCAAAGTGTTTTTCTACCGCAGTTGTGAAAGGTGAGAATTGTTCTTGGGAATGTTAATCTACCGGTGGAATATGATGTTCCCCAGCCATCAACCTTTCAATGAGTTTCAGAGAAGGGTCTAGGCCGGAAACGTCAGACTTCCTGCTCCTCTGATGCTGCTTGGCCTGCTGTGTTCATCCAGCTCTACACCTTGTTATCTCAACCTTTCAATGAGGGTTGATAATATTGAGAGGGAGTTTGGGAACAAAGGTGGGAGTCCATTGTGAAAAAAAATTTGCATTTCACAACCTCAAAATGCTTCAGGGATAGTAGGAACTGCTGATGCTGGAGAATCTGAGATAACAAGGTGTAGAGCTGGATGAACACAGCAGGCCAAGCAGTGTCAGAGGAGTAGGAAATCTTCAGATTTTCTGAAGAAGGGTCCAGACCTGAAATGTCAACTTTCCTGCTCCTCTGATGCTGCTTGGCCTGCTGTGTTCATCCAGTTCTACACCTCAAAATGCTTCACATCTTTTTTGAAGTGTAGCCTCTGCTGTAATGTAGCAAACACGGCACCCATTTGCACATAGCAAGCTTCCACAAATAGCAATTGAACACCACTGGATTGTTTATTAATAATAGAATTGTACAAGAGAGAAACAAGCTATTTGGCCCACCATGTCTAGGATCATACAGAATTTGGATATTGTAGATAAATGTGAGGTTATCCACTTTGGTAGAAAGAATAGGAAGGATGTCCTTTTACTCCATTTGCTGAAAGTTAGCGTGCAGGTACAGCAGGCGATGAAGAAAGCAAATGGTATGTTGGCCTTCATAGTGAGAGGATTCAGATGCAGGAGCAGGGAAACCTCTACAGCACAAAAACAGACCCTTTGGTCCAATTCATTCACACCGTCCAGATATCCTAGACTGATCTAGTCCCATTTGCCAGCATTTGGCCCATATCCCTCTAAACCCTTCCTGTTCATGTATCCATCCAGATGCCTTTTACATATAATTGTACTAGCCTCCACCACTTCCTCTGGCAGCTCATTCCATACACACACCACCCTCTGCGTGGAAAAAATTGCCCCTAGGTCCCTTTTAAATCTTACCCCTCTCACCTTAAACCTATTCCTTCTAAGTTCTGGGCTCCCCTCCCCTGATTTTATAAACCTCTTTAAGGTCACCCCTCAGCCTCTGCCACTGCATTCTTGCTGCCCATCTTTCCTTTAGAATCTGTCATTGTAACCCTCTATTCTCTTTGCCATCCTTTACTTGTCCAGTTCCCCCTTTGCCCACCGATTCCATCCACTTTAGTAAGACCATAAGAAATAAGAAAAGGAGTAGGCTGTTCGGCCCCTTGATCCTGCTCTGCCATTGAACAGGATCATGTCTGGTCCCAAAACTCCTCAAATCACTTTCCCATGAAGGATTTAAATGCTGGCAAATGGGACTGGATTAATTCAGGATATCTGGTCATTCTAGATAAGTTGGACCGAAAGGCCTGTATCCATGATGCGTGGCTCTAGGACCCTAAAAGAAGGACACACAATTTCTAGCATCGTATTTGTTCTTTGAACGGCACGGTAGCACAGTGGTTAGCACTGCTGCATCACAACACCAGGGACCCGGGTTCAATTCCACCCTTGGGTAACTGTTTGTGTGGAGTTTGCACATTCTCCCCGTGTCTGTGTGGGTTTCCTCTGGGTGCTGCAGTTTCCTCCCACAGTCCGAAGATGTGCAGGCTAGGTAGATTGGTCGTGCTAAATTGCCCATAATGTTCAGGGATTTGTACGTTAGGAGCGTTATGGGGGAGGGGTTTGGGTGAGTGCTTCTGAGGGTCGGTGTGGACTTGTTGGGCTGAAGGGCCTGTTTCCACACTGTAGGGATTCTATGATTCTTCAGTTTGCCTGTCTCGATCATTGAGAGCACCAGGTAGCTGTCCTGCTTGTGTCAGTCTCTCACCAACTGCTGATGGTTTGATGGTCACCCAGCCCCTCACACAAGGTTTCTACTTGGCACTATCTTCACATACCTGGTTAAGGTTAGAAGGTGAGGTTGACGGGTACAGTGGAAGTAGTGAGTGCCAGGGTGTCTTGAGCTGTTGCATGCTGTCACCTTAATACAAAATGTAACTTAATTAGACTATATTCTGTATTTTTTAAATCTTATTCTTTCAGAGGATATGGCCCTGGAATCCTAGTCCAGTGATATTACCGCTACATCACCATCTATGCTCTGCTTTTCTGACGATTACAGAGAGCCCTTACTGTCCTCTCCTGCTCATTCTCTCCATACAGGCATGTGCCGTGAACTGAATTTTACAGTCCCGTGGGGCCACATTGCAGCCAAGGCCTGGGGTCATCCCAGTGGGCGCCCAGTATTGTGTTTGCATGGCTGGGCAGATAATGCCAATACTTTCGACCGACTCATCCCTTTGCTTCCAGGAGGTGAGTACTGGCTAATATCCTATTTATGAGTTTCGGTCCAGGAACTTCAATTTCTTCAGATAACCAAAAAAAAGGTAACGATCGTCCACTTTTATCTTAAGACTGTTGGATTAGAGACTGTGCCTCGGCTCAGCTGCTGACAGCCTCTTTTATTTTTAATTGCTTTTCTTACTCCTAAATATGGATATTCAGTGTTCTCCTGGCCACCTTCCCCCCCCACTTTGAACCTCCAATTGTCAACATGATCTCCCATTTCTAACTTGCAGTGAATCTTAGTTCACCCACCACCCCTGCACTAGCTGTCCGGCACTTAGATCCTGTGTAAACAACACTTTGATTGTTAAATTTCCACCCTTGTTTTCAAATCTGTCCATGCCGTTACCGCAACCCCATCTTAGCAATTTAGGGGAAGGCTACTCAACCCTTCAAGCTTGCCAGCCCTTTGGTAAATCGTGGCAAGTCTGGTTGCATCCATAACACTCCTTTTATCTCTGCCTCTCCTGTCTCTTTTGACCCCCTACAACCCTCCAAGATATTTGCACCCCTCCAATTCTGGTCTCTTGCATGTCCTTGATTTTAAGTGTTCCATGCCTTCAGCTGCCTGGGCCCTAAGCTCAGGAAGTTAGCCCCCAGACCCCTGTGCCTGTCTTTACTCCTTTTAGGCTCCTCCTTATGACCCAGCTCTTTGACCAAGCTTTTTGTCATTGCACCTAATATCTCCTTGTATGAGTCCGTGTCGAATCTCATTGGGTGGCTGCCTTGTGAAGCACAGCAGTATATTTTACTGCATCAAAGGCGCAATATAAATGCAAATGCCGGTGAATACAAGAGTGAGGAAATTCTCACCTCGTTTAGGCACGTCTTCAGTTAGACTCCATTTGGAGTAACTGCGGTCAGGTTTAGACATTCCATCTCAGAGAAGCAGTATTGGCCTTGAATGTGTCATACATTTACCAGAGTCATGCTGGAACTTAAAGGGTTAATTTCCAAGGGCTGTCACACAGTCTAGGCTTGTACCCCTTTGAGTTTAGGAGAAATTAGAATTAGGTGTTATTGTCACATGTGCTGAAGTACAGGGATACAGGAGTACAGTGAAAAGTTTACAATGTCATCATTCACAGCGCCATCTTAGCTACAAGGTACCTAGGTACAAACTCATAGGTAAAGAGTAGAAAAATAAAGAAATGTTAAAAGTTCAACATTACAGTTCTTGTCAGTATAAAGTAGTAAATAAGTAATAGAGTTAAAAGTTCCAAATTACAGCCCTCCTTTAGCCACGGGCCTGCAGTCACTCAATGCTGGACTTTTCCCACAAGAATTTGATCTCTCTCCCTCACTGATCTCTCACTCCCTGCGCCACCATGTTGCCATCTTCCCACCGACCGCCATGCTGTCTCTCCCGCTCTAGGCTTGATCTCTTGATCCCGGTGCTTCTGCACTGCTGTTTCACTGCTAACCGCTGTCTGGCTCTGGTGCCACTCCAGGCCCCTAGCTGCTTCCATTATGCTGCTGACCACCTGAGTTCTGCCCGGGCACACCAACCACCTCATGGCCGACCGCAAGGTCCCCGCTCTGGTCCCCCAGCTGCTGCTGGCACCGCCACTGTCTCCATGACCGAGCTCCCAGAGACTCTCCAATTGACCAGCTTCTCCTGCAGCAGGATTAGCATCTATTCTTGGAGGCTGTCTTGTATCCTTCAAAGCAGAGTTCCAGACCAGGCAGTAGAGGGGATCTAATCAAGGTATTTATTTAATAATAATCACAGAACTGTTACAGTGCAAAAGGGGGCCATTCGGCCTGTTATGACTGCACCTGATAAATGAAGAGAAGCTGCTTGCTCTGCAGGAATGTAATCTGAAACTCAGAGGCAAGCCGTTGTCAGGAATCATTTCCCTGCACAAGAGGGTATTGAAAAATCTACAACTTTCTTCCTCCAAATGATTGTAGATCAGTTGAAGCATGAGGTGGATAGATTATGTTAAATTAGTGTGTCAAAGGACATCAAGCAAAGGAAAGCGAATGGAATTGAGACAAAGATCAGTCATGATCTAACAGAAAGGGAGTACAGGCCCAAGGGTGTTGAACAATCTCCAGCGTGTAGGTGTGTACAGGTATAACTTAATGCTCCTTATTAAGAAGATCTGAAGCAAAACTGTTTATTTGCTTGCCTTATTTTAGTAGTAGATCAGATGTCCGTAGCTGCCGCACTACTGCAGTACAGTGGGTGTGCTACACTACCAGAGACATTTGAGTTTGGAAGAGACATTAAACTGGCACCCTTTCTGGACACAAAAGGTCTTATGGCATTATTTCACTGCAAGAGTGATTCTCAGGTCTCTTGGCCGATATTTATCCTGGAATCAACATCACAAAAAAGAACAGACTATCTGGTGATTATTACACAGCTGTTTGTGGGAGCTTGCTGTGTGCAGTTTGGCTGCCACTTTGCCTATTTTACAGTAGTGTGGTATGGACCAGACCAAGCCCCTCAAAATATCTTAAAAAGATAGCCTAGGTGCTAACATTTTCTTATTTTAAAGGCACGTGCCAGGCATTGCATTCCAGATGCAATTTGATTAGTCAAACTGCCAGTCTTGAAGCAAAACACACTTTATTCATACAATATAGTTAAAATACAACAAAGAAAGAATTGGAATAACTTAACAGAATGATAGATTATGTAACTACCAAACAGTAAATGTTCCAATATAGTAACATCCCATAAACACACCCTTGGTAAAGGCAAATTCAATAAAACAGATTGTCTCACATGCAATACTAGCAGCAGGAAGAGAACCCCAGCTTTTAGCTGAAACAGAGAGAGGAATAAGAGCTTCCACATTCAGCTTCAAGACCCTAATAGCTGCAACTGAAAAACTAAAACTAAAAAATCTTGGTTCTGTGGGAGCTTGACCTCACCCATTCAAGCTGCTTCTATTGTTCCAACATTTCTTAAAAAAAAAACTCAAGGCCTCACAAGCTGTTTACTTTATTGGCTCTGAGTTGATTGTTTTTCACCTCTCTCTTAACCTTTCTTCTTTGTGAAAAAAAGGACAAAATACACCTCTTAAAACCATAGTATTGTCACAAGTGCCTGAGCTTCAAAGGTATTTCATTAGCTGTAAAGTGCTTAGGTGCAGCTGGTGGTGATGAAGGACGCTATAGAGGAGCAAGTTTTTTTTTTTTTAAGTATTCAGTGTCTTTTAGAGCCAGAGGCTGTCTTCTCTTACCTCTGGGAGCAACTGTCATGAGTTACAGGAATAGTTGGATGTGGAAATTTTGGATTAATTACCGGAACATGATTTGAAGTTTTTTGACAGTGATTTCATGTCACCTTCCTATCAGGGCCACATCCCTGACGATCCTCTCAGTGTGAGATTTCCACCATTCTGTTACTTCCCAGCATAACAATGGGTGATATCTCGAGTATGCTTGATGTAACCTATAAAGAAAGGAATACTTGCAATTCCTTGACACCCCTTTTCACAACCTCAGAACGTCTGAGAAAAAGTTTTACAGTCAGTGAAGTACTTTTGAAGTTTAGTTGTTGTGCTAATTTAGGAAATGCAGCAGCCAAATTGTGCACAGCAAGCTCCCACGAGTAACAATAAGCAGATAATCTGTGTTCACTGGTGTTGGAGGAGGAGTGATTTTTGGCCCCAGGACACTGGGAAGAACTCCATTGATTATCTTTGATATGGGCCAAGGGGATGGATTGTATTTATGAGAGGGCAGATTTGATTTGGTTTGATTTAGTATTGTCACATGTACGGAGATATAGTAAAAAGTATTGTTTTGCGTGCTAACCAGACAAATCATACCTTACATAAGTATTTCAGGGTAACAGAACAGAGTGCAGAATGTAGGATTACCGTTACAGAGAAGGTGCAGGGAAAGATCAACTGTAATATGAGAGTTCAGTTCATAAGTCTGATAACAGTGGGAAGAAGCTGTTCTTAAATATGAGTACTTTTGTGTCTTCTGCCTGATGGAAGAGAGTATAACCGGGATGGGAGGGGTCTTTAGCCTCTCTGCTCCTATGATGCTGCTTGGCCTGCTGTGTTCATCCAGCCCTGCACCTTGTTGTCTCGGATTCACCAGCATCTGCAGTTCCTACTATCTCCTCTTCAATTATGTTGTCTGGTTTCCTGAGGCAGTGGGAAGTGTAGATGGAGTAAATGGATGGAAGACCTGCTGAGCTTTTCCAGCAACTTTGTTTTTGTTCCTAAATGGATGGAAGGTTGGCTTTTGTGATGGACTGGGCTATGTTTGCATCTCTCTGTAACTTTGTGGACTCGAGTAGAGCAGTTGCCAAAGTAAGCTGTGATTCATCCAAATAGAATGCATTCTATGGAGTATCTTAAATGGGAGCTTGTTTTAGCACCTCATCAGAAAACTGCACCTCCAGTAGCTCAGAATGGCCTTTGTATTACATTGTGAGCATAGAGTCCACACAGGATTGGGAGTGTGGTGTTGGGGAAGTTCCTGGATTTGGCTCGGTGACCCCCAACCATCATTTGGGGATGGTTGAGATGAAAGTCGGCGAGATTGCACCTGGAGCCTCACATGGTGCTTTGGCACATTAAGATAACAGTTTTCATTTACTGAGATAACAAGGTGTAGAGCTGGATGAACACAGCAGGCCAGGCAGCATCAGAGAAGCAGGAAAGCTGACGTTTCGGGTCTGGACCCTTCTTCACTAACTGAGATGTTGTGTTTTATATGCAAAAACAATAAACATTAAAGTCCTGCTGTTTACATAATCAATGTTTGCTCATCCACATTTTCTCATTCCGTGCAGCATGTCACCCACTGTAGCATCAACTCTCACTTATTTGAGACTGGCATGAGATACTCACACTGGGAGGTTACAGCCAGCTTTGTCATTGTAAGAAATGTCTAAGCCTGCTATTGTTTTAATTTCAGACATGATACCATTTGACCTTTGCCCCCAGACTAGAACATGGTCACCTGGTCCCAATTTACTTATTTTTAAATCT